GACCAACAATCTTAGACGCATTCACAAGTTTCAACGCTGGCTATCTTAATACGTCTGGAATAACCAACCGAAGTTCTTCACCATCTTTTTGAGCATTTACATAAAATAGTACACCTTCTTTCCGTTCAAAATCATTTATTGTTAAATTATGTTTCTTTGAAGGGTATTTTCCTTCTTGAGAAGGGAACATTTCCAAATGTTTAATAATTTCTTTCCATCTAAGTTCATTCATCTTGAATTCTTTCATTTTCTCACTTAGAATAGTTTCGATGTTAACCTTTACATTAATAGAAATGATGTTCCTGCTCAAAGTCTCTGGCACTACATGTGATGCCCAGACTTGTAAAGGATCTGGAATGAGTGTGCCGGGAGTCCATGGGACCAACGTGACATACGCGAGCTCTTAGTTCTCTTCTTAAATATATGTGTGAGACCTCTGTGGTCTGTATGAAGGGCAAAATGACGTTGGAATAGATACGGTTCCAGGTATCTCTCTCCACAACTGCAAGTGCTTCCCTATCCTTAGCGGAATATCGCACTTCAGGGCCCTTAACCTTCCAACTGAAGTATGCTACCAAGTGGGGATGATTCTTAGAATTGCGCTGCGATTCAGCGCGATAAACAGCTTCCAATGGCGATGTCTCTGGCATCAGTGTGTACTTCCCACTCTTTATCAAAGTCAGGTACGGCTAATACTGGGGTAGTAATGAGTTGACTTCATTTTAGTATATGTTCTGGTTTCCAAAGAGATGAAATATTTTTCTTTGTAAGATCAGTCAAGGGGGCTGATCAGAACCCTCAATGTGGAGGCGGAAGTACCCGGCTGCCCCGAGAAACCTGCGCACATCCTTTGCAGTCATTATGGTGCCGTCCTTGGTATTTCAGCATTGGCACAGCTAGAATCTGGGCCAGGACGGATGCCATCTGTGCTCACCTGGAACTCCAGAAATTTGAATTTCTGAGATGCCAGACAACATTTCTGAACATTCAACTTGAAACCTGCTCAATCTAATTAAGTAAACGTCTCAGTCAAGTCCCATAAGTGCTCGTCAAACGTCCTGGAGAGACCACTATGTCATCCAGGTACGCTAATGAGTACCTTCCCAAGACTGGACTGAGGATGTAATTAATAGCCCCTCTGAAATGACGTATGGGCTGTCTTTAAGCGGAAATCCATACACCCTAATTGATAAGTATGCACGCCATCAGATAATACTGTCTTCCATCTGTCCTTATCAGCCACTGGTATAGCCCAATACACCGACTTTGCATCAAGAGTGGAGAAATACTTTGCTGCCCCGAACTAATCTATGATCTCCTGAATTCGGGGTGAAGATACACATCACCCTTTGTAATCTCGTTAACTTTCCTGTAATCCGCACCAAACCTGTAACTACCATTTTAGTAGTTACAGGTCGGAGCCGGTCGGCCGAGCGGACAGCACGCGGGACTTGTGATCCTGTGGTCCTGGGTTCGATCCCAGGTGCCGGCGAGAAACAATGGGCAGAGTTTCTTTCACCCTATGCCCCTGTTACCTAGCAGTAAAATAGGTACCTGGGTGTTAGTCAGCTGTCACGGGCTGCTTCCTGGGGGTGGAGGCCTGGTCGAGGACCGGGCCGCGGGGACACTAAAGCCCCGAAATCATCTCAAGATAACCATCCGGCTTGTGAACCAACACAACTGCAGACAGCCACGGGGAAGTACTAGATTCAATTACTTCCTGTTGTATCATTTTCTGACACTCATCTCTCATAACTTTCATAGCCAGTTCCGGGAGCCTCCACTGCCGAGTGTACTCTGGTGCATGGTCACCTGTCGGAATAGTGTGCTCGATCCTATCAAGGAGACCAATCTGATAATCCTCAGTTGCAAACAATTTGGGGAATCTACATAAAATTCCTGGGCCTGACAGCAGAGTGGACAGTGCTTTGGAGTCGTAGTCCTGAGGTTCCGGGTTCGATCCCCGGTGGAGGATCGAACACCTTGCCCAATCGCAATCAGCAATGTTTCGACCCCTTTTGTGCAGACAAGGAGTAAGAAAATCTACTCAAGAAATCCATACCAAACAAATTATCCCCCGGGAATACAAGATTCTCAACAACAGTGCATGTGTGAGGGTGTGACTCCACATTACCAATTTCAAAATTAATGGTGCCTTGAGTCAAGATGTCATTGTGCTGCCCATTAACTGCTGTTAAGTGTTTCCCATAATGCGTGAATGTCTCAATTTGCTGAAGGCAGAATTTTTAATTAATGTTGGCCTGACTTCCAGTGTCCACAAATGCTATCAAACTCAAACCATCAACCTTCACATCAAGTCGGTTTGCCATCATGAACACTGACCTGTCCTGAGTCTTCATTAACCCGTGCACTTGTGCATACATCCTTGTATGCACAATTCCAACATATTTCATTACAAATGTTCCGTCTACCAGGCGCAGGCTTGATACCTATACAAGCTATTTCCTGGGAGTCATCACTGGGAAGGGAGGTAGGAGGGGACAGAGTAGTGGAGGGGAGGTGAGAAGTGAGGTAGGGGGTTGGTAGCGGGTTGGGGGCTTGGTGGGGAGTTTGAGGGATTAGTGGAGGGTGCTTGGCTGACAACAGGAGAGAGGAGTGGTTGGAGGGGGATGGGGCTGAGCGTGAGAGTGAAAGTGGGAAGAGGGATTGGGGTTAGAGATAGGGTAAGAGGGAGCGATGATTGGGGAGGATTTGAGGGAAGGAAGGTTGGACGGGAAGGGGTTGAGGGGGTGGGGGGTCAGTGTAGACGGGGAGAGGTTGGTGAAGGCGGGGAGTTCAAGTCCACCGTCTTGGACTTCCTGCGGCTTCGCAGAAATGTTTCCCTAACCTGATTGACCATCTTTTCCGCCCGTCCAGATCCTTTTGTCCTGCTCAGACAGCCTTCCTCTTTGATCTTATTGTAACATGTCCAACTCTGCACTCCAGTTGGTGGATTTTTGGCGAATTGTCTCGCAAGTGCACGCTGCAGGGTTTAGTCGACTGTGTTTGAACATACTACAACACACAAAACTCCTTTCCGTTTCTAGTGAATGGTATTTCTATACCTGAAAAAAAAGAAACATTATACATAGAATTGTGAGTTGTTTCTACGCATGTTCTTAAAATTTGAGATCAAGTCAAAGAGAATTGGTCAAGTTATTATATTACAAAATTATATACATTTTTCTGAAACATCTTGTATTTGTGGATGGTAACATAGTGGGTGAGTTAGTGGTACAGGGGGGACATTGTAGTGAGGAAAATATGTACTTAGTTGTTCTACTGTTGAATAAAATGTAGGTTATGCAGGTATTTACTTTGCTGGGAGTTCCATATATTGGATCAAACGAAACAATGGGTATAAATTGGATAAGTTTAAATTTAGGAAAGAGTTGAGTAAATACTGATTCGGTAACAGGGTTGTTGATTTGTGGAACCAATTACCGCATAACGTGGTGGAGGTGGGGTCTCTCGATTGTTTCAAGCGTGGGTTACACATGTTTATGAGTGGGATTGGGTGGTTATAGATAGGAGCTGCCTCGTATGGGTCAATAGACCACCTGCAGTTACCTTTATTCTTATCTTCTTATGATCCGTTTGTTTAGACTCTGGGAATATCAAAGGTATATTTATTTCCTGGTGTGATGATCATGGGTTCTATTACATCCATCTAGGATTAGTATTAGAAGAATAAGACTTTGTAAGTGTAAATGACACACGAGAATGTGTGAATGTTTGGTATCTTTAGGAACTGGTGTGTGTGTGTTGTTTGAAGACAGAATTTGCTATAGTTCTGATAGCTGGTTTTTTGCGGGGTAATAATGGGCTTGAGATAATTTGGGGAGGTTGAACCTATGCACCTACCTATCTACCCTAAGGTAGATAGGGTTAGATTAGTGAGTAGCCTAGTGTAAGCGTAGAGTGAGGTACATAAAGGCTAATTATTTTCATAAACATCATTATCAATAACATTATTGAGAAAATCATTTAAGAGCCATGCAGAGGATTCGAACCTGTATCATAGGTACAGCCAAACCGTCAGCCTTAAATTACTGAACTACGCATGACTCCAGTTGCTTTTCTCACTGATATATAACGTTAATGAGATTTATTTCTACATTATTATTATTATTATTATTATTATTATTATTATTCAATTGTGATAATGCTGAAGGGTGTAGAAGTACACCCTGTATGTGTGTGGCGTTGGGTGTACACACACTGTGTTATGTGCTGGGAATTATAGTCATGTAAGTCATTATAAATATGATGTTGTTGGTGTGTGATGTGTGATGATGTTCTCATCCTCTCTTGGTATTCCTTGCATCCCTCAACGGATCTGCTCCGCCTGGTTGGTCTGCTCCTGCTGCTGCTGCCTCTGCTCCTTGTCGAACTGGGGGTCCGTGTGTCTGCTGGAGCTACCGTTGATGTTTCTACTGACAATTCTGTGGTCATGATTCCCACGATCGTTGAATTGGCTACTGCATCTCTGATCTTGAGTTGATGGTGTTAATTTGTCAATATAACGAACGTCACATTTTGGTCGTCACTTCTGGTGGTGGTGGTGGTGGTGGTGGTGGTGGTGGTGGTGGTGATGGTGGTGGTGGTGCTGGTGCTGCGGCTGCTGCTGCGGCTGCTGGTGCTGCTGCTGCGGCTGCTGCGGCTGTTGCTGCTGCTGCTGCTCTTGCTGCTGCTGCTCTTGCTGCTGCTGCTGCTGCTGCTGCTGCTCTTGCTGCTGCTGCTCTTGCTGCTGCTGCTGCTGCTCTTGCTGCTGCTGCTGCTGCTGCTGCTGCTGCTCTTGCTGCTGCTGCTCTTGCTGCTGCTGCTGCTGCTCTTGCTGCTGCTGCTGCTCTTGCTGCTGCTGCTGCTGCTGCTGCTGCTCTTGCTGCTGCTGCTGCTGCTGCTGCTGCTGCTGCTGCTGCTGCTGCTGCTGCTGCTGCTGCTGCTGCTGCTGCTGCTGCTGCTGCTTGAATGTTGGTGCACCCTCTCCCACCTTACAGGGGAGTTCTCGACCTTGCTGGCCAGCTTCCACCTCCAGCGACACATGGGTAACTTCATGATCACAGTGTACGGTCCGTGTGTGCTGCTGGTGGTGCTCTCCTGGGTGTCCTTCTGGCTCAACCGTGAAGCCACCTCCGATCGCATCTCTCTAGGTCAGTGTCCAACCTCATCCTTTTTAGCGAGGTGTCCAACAGCTTCTCTAGGCCATTGTCCACGTGCATCTCCTGGTCAGTGTCCAAGTGCACCTCGAGGTAAGTGTCCAAGTGCATCTCCTGGTCAATGTCCAAGTGCACTTCGAGGTAAGTGTCCAAGTGCATCTCCTGGTCAATGTCCAAGTGTATCTCGAGGTAAGTGTCCAAGTGCATCTCCTGGTCAATGTCCAAGTGCATCTCGAGGTAAGTGTCCACGTGCATCTCCTGGTCAGTGTCCAAGTGCATCTCGAGGTAAGTGCCCAGCTGCATAATTTTAGTCAAGTGTACAAGTGTATCTTTCTAGGCAAATGTCTAACCGCAATTGTCTATTTAAAGGCCCAAACTGTAAGTCTCTAGACAAGGTGTCCATCCACGTATTTCTAGATCAGTGCCCAATCATGTCTACTCAATGATATATATCCAGTGGCATCTCTCTAGGCGCGTGTCCAATCCCATGTTTCTTGACGAGTCGACGATGAGTCCTTATACGTGAAGAACTTAACTACTTGTCTCTAGGTAAGTGTGTTTGCTATATAGTGTCTATATGTAGGTAAGTGTCTATGTAGATAATTGTCTATGTAAGTGTCTGTGTGTATGTACGTGTCTGTGTAGAAAAATATGTCTTTTGGTGAGTACTTAAAGAAGGTCCTTTGAAAATAAGTACCTTATAAGTAGTAAAATAAGTGAAAATAAGTACCTTAGTCTTCCTCTTAACGCTGCACTTAAATCATATCAATTCAGAATTCAGGAAGTGTTGTATTTTATCTTTGAAACAAAGTTAAGCCAATATATTTAAACCCACGCTTGTTTACGCTCTCTCATCAGGACGGAGAACGGGGGAATTAGTCTTTTCCTTAGCAATGGCAAGGAAAATGTTCAAATAATTCCTTAACCATGACTAGGGAAAATTACCAGACAATTCCTTAACTTTGGCTGGGAAAATGTTCAAATAATTCCTTAACCATGACTAGGGAAAATTACCAGACAATTCCTTAACTTTGGCTGGGAAAATGTTCAAATAATTCTTTAACACTGTCTAGGAAAACATTCAAATAATTCTTTAACACTGTCTAGGAAAATTACCAGACAATTCCTTAACTTTGGCAAGGAAAATGTTCAAATAATTCCTTAACCATGACTAGGGAAAATAGTCAAGGAAACCAATTTGCATAATTTCATTACTAGACAGGAAGTGATCAAGGCAGGTGTTATTGATGTGATTCAGAACAATATTATGAAAGAAGAACAAAGCCAACTTGATGACCTGATCACTCCAGCCTAACTGTGGCACAATTAGGAGGGTGACAGGTCAGAGTCAGGTCAAGTGTGTGACCTCACAAACTACTGGCTGTAGGCCAGCTCATATTTCTCTCTTCATGCTGATGAGGACAAAATTATGAATTGATATAACAGTATATTTTATTTTTTTGAAGTTTAAAATGCAGTACAATGCTGTCATTGTACTGTATTTCCTGTATTTCCCTAATACAGTACAATGACAGCATTTTAAAGTGCATTATGTGTATTTATTGAAACTGATAGTTGATTTCATGCATAATTCATGTGTTAGTTCAAAATACATTTCTTGTAAGGTATCTATGTTAGTAAATGTTCCTCTTTGAACACAATCATCCACACCCCTGAACGCAATCATCCACACCCCTGAACACAATCATCCACACCCCTGAACACAATCATCCACACCCCTGAACGCAATCATCCACACCCCTGAACACAATCATCCACACCCCTGAACACAATCATCCACACCCCTGAACACAATCATCCACACCCCTGAACGCAATCATTCACACCCCTGAACACAATCATCCACACCCCTGAACACAATCATCCACACCCCTGAACACAATCATCCACACCCCTACTCCACACCATCTTGCCTCCTGACGGTGGCTCCTGCTTCAGGTATCACGACGGTGCTGACTATGACGTTCCTGGGACTGGAGGCGAGGACAGACCTGCCCAAGGTGCCCTACTCCACGGCCCTCGACCTCTTCGTCTGGCTCTCCTACGGGTTCATCTTCGCTACCATCATTGAGGTGAGTTGGGAATACTTAAGACTTGAGCCAGTGGGGGAAATGTTCTTGTAACTCCGAGGGAAGACTGTTACGACCCTGGGTTCTTCAGTGGAAACCAGAGGTCAAAATTTAACTAATTAAGCTACGTTAGAGTAGGAAATCGCAACCCGATGTGGCTTTGTTGTATCTTCCCTGCCAGACGTAAGACTATTCTTGTTTCTCAAAGAGCATTTAGAGACAAATAACTATACCATTTTGTCGTGTTCATAGCCAACGGCACCATCCGTTTGTATGGGCTGCGTTTCATGCGCCAGCGGTATGTAAACAACAGATATACAGCATACAGGACGCCCGCCAAGCTTGGACGCTGCTAATCATGTATCGTTATAAGTATTAAAGTCAGTAACCAAGCCATGGCTTTATATCAACCTTACAACCAAGACTTTCTCAGCAACACACAACATCACACATATTGCCCAAATGAGCCACAGAGATATTAGAAAGAACTTTTTTTAGTGTCAGAGTGGTTGACAAATGGAATGCATTAGGAAGTGATGTGGTGGAGGCTGACTCCATACACAGTTTCAAGTGTAGACATGATAGAGCCCAATAGGCTCAGGAACCTGTACACCTGTTGATTGACGGTTGAGAGGCGGGAACAAAGAGCCAGAGCTCAACCCCCGCAAGCACAACTAGGTGAGTATATTACTGGGCATCCAAACTTAGCTGTTGGTTTGAGGAAAGTTTATATAGTAGTACAATATAAAATGCAGATTTGGATAGCATTATTCGTCATAATCTATTTGTAAATATGTATGTATATATGTCGTACCTAGTAGCCAGAACGCACTTGTCAGCCTACTATGCAAGGCCCGATTTGCCTAATAAGCCAGGTTTTCCTGAATAAATATATTTTCTCTATTTTTTTCTTATGAAATGATAAAGCTACCCATTTCATTATGTATGAGGTCAATTTTTTTTTATTGGAGTTAAAATTAACGTAGATATATGACCGAACCTAACCAACCCTACCTAACCTAACCTAACCTATCTTTATAGGTTAGGTTAGGTTAGGTAGCCGAAAAAGTTAGGTTAGGTTAGGTTAGGTAGTCGAAAAACAATTAATTCATGAAAACTTGGCTTATTAAGCAAATCGGGCCTTGCATAGTAGGCTGAGAAGTGCGTTCTGGCTACTAGGTACGTCATATATATATATATATATATATATATATATATATATATATATATATATATATATATATATATATATATGGTATTAATTTGACTTGCTTTTATTGGTAAGATCTGTCAGTGATCTTATTGACAGATCACTGAGAGTAATTAATTTCTGTCAGAAATGTAGTTAATAATCCACTAACAGTGGATTAATCCCAACTCTTGATTAAAGAGACGGTTTTTTGCACCGATGAAGACACAGTATTTGTCTATTATTTTGTTGCCATTACTGCATATTATTATCCTTGACTTTATGTATATAACTAAGTTCAGTTAATATTAAAGTATAACTCAAAGTCAACATTGTCGTGGCATTTAATAATTTTGTTTATGTACAATCAATTATTTCTTATTACCCTCTCAAGACTGAATAGATTCCAGAACTCTTAAGTAGGTTTAATTTGAATTTTACTTGTTGGGCTTAAGACTTAACCTCAGGAGGGTTATTAAGGCCAACCAGAAAGTTTACTTTTGTCCTGAATATAGTCTAGGCCTAAAGTAAACTGGCAGTGTTTACATGAAGAAGTGTGGGTACACCTCTCAGTGTATATATGGTCATATGATTTATTTATTTATTTATTTATTTATTTATTTTCAAAAATGTAGATTGGGTTGTCAGAGTACTTAACATTGGTGTTTGAGCGTTTCGGTTTAATATATTAATATTCATGAACAAATCCACAAGGGCCGTGACGAGGATTCGAACCTGCGTCCGGGAGCATCCCCTTGTGGATTTGTTCATTTGATGCATCATGTTATTGTGATTTCTGAGTGTATTAATATTCTTCCTTAAATATGACGAACACTATCTGCAATATTCTGCAATAAAACGTGTCATGTATTGAACAAAATGAGAACGGTCCTGTGGCTTGAAGCTCTCAGGAGCTCCCAACATCTCCTAAACCATAATTTTATTGACGTAATTTAGGTGTATCTGTATTTATGCAGATAACTGAGACTATATCAAAGGTTACACAGTGTGTGTCAAGAGCCAGCTGTGTGATACTAAGGTACCTGGACATTTATACAGCTGCCCTAGACTATATGAAGGGTTGCACAGTGTGTGTCAAGAGCCAGCTGTGTGATACTAAGGTACCTGGACATTTATACAGCTGCCCTAGACTATATGAAGGGTTACATAGTGTGTGTCAAGAGCCAGCTGTGTTATACTAAGGTACCTGGAGATTTATACAGCTGCCCTAGACTATATGAAGGGTTACATAGTGTGGGTCAATAGCCAGCTGTGTTATACTAAGGTACCTGGAGATTTATACAGCTGCCCTAAACTATATGAAGGGTTACACAGTGTGTGTCAAGAGCCAGCTGTGTGACACTAAAACAAATTACATCTCACAGGACGGTTAGTCATCCAAGGGATGACATCATTAGACTGCTCAGGCAAATTTTGGATGGATCTCCCAGGTCTGGAATAGGATTTTATAGAACACGCCTGGAAGGTGTTCCAGCACCCACCTGGATGGTGTTCCAGCATCCATCTAGATGGTGTTCCAGCACCCACCTGGATGGTGTTCCAGCACCCACCTGGATGGTGTTCCAGCACCCACCTGGATGGTGTTCCAGCACCCACCTGGATGGTGTTCCAGCACCCACCTGGATGGTGTTGGATGGTGTTCCAGCACCCACCTGGATGGTGTTCCAGCACCCACCTGGATGGTGTTCCAGCACCCATGGTGTTCCAGCACCCACCTGGATGGTGTTCCAGCACCCACCTGGATGGTGTTCCAGCACCCACCTGGATGGTGTTCCAGCACCCACCTGGATGGTGTTCCAGCACCCCTGGATGGTGTTCCAGCACCCACCTGATGGTGTTCCAGCACCCACCTGGATGGTGTTCCAGCACCCACCTGGATGGTGTTCCAGCACCCACCTGGATGGTGTTCCAGCACCCACCTGGATGGTGTTCCAGCACCCACCTGGATGGTGTTCCAGCACCCACCTGGATGGTGTTCCAGCACCCACCTGGATGGTGTTCCAGCACCCACCTGGATGGTGTTCCAGCACCCACCTGGATGGTGTTCCAGCACCCACCTGGATGGTGTTCCAGCACCCACCTGGATGGTGTTCCAGCACCCACCTGGATGGTGTTCCAGCACCCACCTGGATGGTGTTCACCTGGATGGTGTTCCAGCACCCACCTGGATGGTGTTCCAGCACCCACCTGGATGGTGTTCCAGCACCCACCTGGATGGTGTTCCAGCACCCACCTGGATGGTGTTCCAGCACCCACCTGGATGGTGTTCCAGCACCCACCTGGATGGTGTTCCAGCACCCACCTGGATGGTGTTCCAGCACCCACCTGGATGGTGTTCCAGCACCCACCTGGATGGTGTTCCAGCACCCACCTGGATGGTGTTCCAGCACCCACCTGGATGGTGTTCCAGCACCCACCTGGATGGTGTTCCAGCACCCACCTGGATGGTGTTCCAGCACCCACCTGGATGGTGTTCCAGCACCCACCTGGATGGTGTTCCAGCACCCACCTGGATGGTGTTCCAGCACCCACCTGGATGGTGTTCCAGCACCCACCTGGATGGTGTTCCAGCACCCACCTGGATGGTGTTCCAGCACCCACCTGGATGGTGTTCCAGCACCCACCTGGATGGTGTTCCAGCACCCACCTGGATGGTGTTCCAGCACCCACCTGGATGGTGTTCCAGCACCCACCTGGATGGTGTTCCAGCACCCACCTGGATGGTGTTCCAGCACCCACCTGGATGGTGTTCCAGCACCCACCTGGATGGTGTTCCAGCACCCACCTGGATGGTGTTCCAGCACCCACCTGGATGGTGTTCCAGCACCCACCTGGATGGTGTTCCAGCACCCACCTGGATGGTGTTCCAGCACCCACCTGGATGGTGTTCCAGCACCCACCTGGATGGTGTTCCAGCACCCACCTGGATGGTGTTCCAGCACCCACCTGGATGGTGTTCCAGCACCCACCTGGATGGTGTTCCAGCACCCACCTGGATGGTGTTCCAGCACCCACCTGGATGGTGTTCCAGCACCCACCTGGATGGTGTTCCAGCACCCACCTGGATGGTGTTCCAGCACCCACCTGGATGGTGTTCCAGCACCCACCTGGATGGTGTTCCAGCACCCACCTGGATGGTGTTCCAGCACCCACCTGGATGGTGTTCCAGCACCCACCTGGATGGTGTTCCAGCACCCACCTGGATGGTGTTCCAGCACCCACCTGGATGGTGTTCCAGCACCCACCTGGATGGTGTTCCAGCACCCACCTGGATGGTGTTCCAGCACCCACCTGGATGGTGTTCCAGCACCCACCTGGATGGTGTTCCAGCACCCACCTGGATGGTGTTCCAGCACCCACCTGTCCGATGTACCAGTTGTTCCAGCACCCACCTGGATGGTGTTCCAGCACCCACCTGGATGCAGTAATTAGCACCCACTGGACTACCGCAGTTGTTGCACAGGACACAAGTGTTTAGGCAACGTTGAATTTCTCCTTTGTCAACCTATCAGTAAATTCATACCTGGAAGTTAGGCAACTGTTGTGCCGGCAGGGGGATGGAAATAGCCTCGGCTACCATCCTCTTTTGTCCGGTCGTGTTGGTCGAGCGGCTAAGGTGTCCTGTACGCCAACAGAGTGCTCCTGGCAGTATGGGTTCGAGTCACTTCTGGAGTGTGAGTTTTCAGTTGCATATAGTCCTGGGGACCATTCAGGTTTGTTCGCCTGAATGGCGAACATATATATATATATATATATATATATATATATATATATATATATATATATATATATATATATATATATATATATATATATATATATATATGTGTGTGTGTGTGTACTCATCAATGTGATTTTTTGTATTGCTATTGCGTGCCAAGTTTCTGGAATCGATACTTTGTGTTAGCGAGAGACTCCATCAGGAACCAGTCCATCTTAAAAACAGTTGTAGGCTATTGTTTTGATGTGCGGCATTGTGGGAGAATTCATTCTTATACAAATTGGTCATTGGAGAGGGAATAATGAGCCTCCAGCGTTGTTTTCACAATTCCAGGATACGTTATCAATTGCTTACGCCGAACGTGAGGCACCTGAAGTGCACGGAATATTGTTTGACAGCCCAGGTTCACCTGCAGATCAATGAGCTCCTCATTCAAGTTGTCATTATGACTCATGTCTGCCAGGAAGGGCTGATGAATACTGTTGAATACTGAATAATGGGTTGTCTGGATATGTCTGATCTTTGGAAGACTGTCAGGGTAATCTCAAGGTGCGTGAGGTGTTTAACAATATTTTCTCCAAGCATGAGACTAATATTATTATCCCCCAGCAACTCATCCAAGATTGGAATGTTTTCCCTCATTCCCTGCTTGGACTCGACGCTTCCAGAGGGAGATCTTCTTGAAGGCGTCTACCTTCTCTGGTAGTCTACCCTATCATGGCTCGGGCGCCAGCCGTACAGACACATGGCTGTCTTCTCTCGCTTGATCTAATGTTTCTCAAAAACTCGTCTAAGACCTGTAATATAGCTGCTCCCTTGGCTGTTATTTGCAAAGCCTTGATGTAACGGATATATGCAATCAGTTGATTTATGTCGGAAACATTAGTTGATCCGTCCAACTGCAGGCCCATGGATGTGGGATTGTTGACCAGACCACACATTAGAAGGTGAAGGGACGACGACGTTTCACAATCAACTTGAGAATGGTCCAGGACGGACCGAAACGTCGTCGTCCCCCCTTCACCTTCTAGTGTGTGGTCTGGTCAACATAATTTAGTCACGTTATTGTGACTCATCGCCTGCATGTGGGACTGTCCTTAATTTCCTGACAAACTTGGTGCAAGTTGTTGGTTGCAGATCTGCAACTCTCCCTGCGATGACATCGTTGGACAGAGGGACTTCCCTTCATGTTCTTAGCTGCCTCTGTTCTCAGAATTATTTCCACCATACGAACGGTTCAAAGCTGCACTGTGTTTTTCGGAGCTGAATGCGAAAAAATCGTCCTGATACATTAGTATATCTTCACGTCAGAAGCGTGAAGATGTGGCTGCTTTGGTGGTTTGGATCCAAGTTGGGACAGTGGACCTTCCTGATCATATCTCGCTCTCTTGGTCTACAAAGCTCCGAGAGTGTGTTCATGTCCTTTGCCTGGAGCTCTCGAAATCTAGCAGGCTGGAAATTCTAGCTGCAAGTAGTGAAATGACAGGTGATGCACTCCACCCGGTCCTGACCTCCCCCCTACCATCCAAGAGAGCAGTGAAGCCACACGTGACAGTCCTCCCTCCAATCGAGTGTCTTCGGCATGTCTTCAGTGTGCATGACCTCTCACACCTGTGCCTCTCACACCTGTGCCTCTCACACCTGTGCCTCTCACACCTGTGCCTCTCACACCTGTGCCTCTCACACCTGTGCCTCTCACACCTGTGCCTCTAACACCTGTGCCTCTCACACCTGTGGACAAAACAACACCTGTTACCAGCAGAAAGCAACACGCAAAATTCGACAACTGATCATCAATATATAATTGTTTTGATTTTAGGTCTTAAGGAACCTTTCACACAAAAACGACACACTGACGTTAACAGCAACAAACAAAACCCAATGGCCTGGTGCGAGGAAGTTGGGCGGCTGGTGGCGGACATTTTGTGACTCGGTGTGCTGGTGTGTTCATGTGTTGCTGGCGTGTTCAGTTGACCGTCCAAGTGGTTGGGCACTATTCCTTCCCCACCGTCCTATCCCAAATCCTTATATCTTGGCCCCTTCCCAGTGCCCTATAGTCGTAACGGCTTGGCGCTTTCCCCCTGATAATTCCCTCCCTCCCCCAGTACAGCAGCGCGCTCTCCAACACTAATACTCATTTGCCACGTGTGAGACCAATAGTCTATGTTTACGTCGCTTTCTAATATCTGACACACCAATGTGACTTGTAACTTTGTGCTCTAGTTTAGCAACAGTAGTGAATATTGTTACTGCAACACTGCAAACCAGGCATGACAGGGCGGACCTCATTGAAACCTTTAAAATACTGAACAAGTTTGAGGATGTTGATCCGGACAACTTCTTCAGAAGATCAGATGTAACACAAACAAGGAGCAACGGTTTCAAGCTCAACAAGCCACAATGCAGAACTGAGAACAGGAGATGCTTTTTCACCGACTGAGTGAAAAAGTAACATTTAGGCTGGACGGTAGAGCGACGGTCTCGCTTCATGGAGGTCGGCGTTCAATCCCCGACCGTCCAAGTAGTTGGGTACTATTCCTTTTCCCTCGTCCCATCCCAAAGCCTTATCCTGACCCCTTCTCAGTGCTATATAGTCGAAATGGCTTGGCGCTTTCCCCCTGATACTTCCCTCCCTCACCCACAGGGTTATTAACTCGTGGAACAGCCTACCCGCCGAAGCCGTAAATGCCAAAACTGTGTTGGGTTTTTAAATTCAAATGGAAAAGATCATCAGGGCATATTGGCGGGACTTTTGATAAGCCGCCGGCTTCCTGTCCTCGTCGAGGCCACTAGGCTTGGTGGCCTCTCAGGTAAATTCAGGTGTTATGTAGTGCAACGTGTTGGCTTCACTTGTACTTGTGTTATCTGTTGCTGTTTTGCATCCTAATCACCAACAGTAATGAAATCAAAGGCGGTTTTTCCTATCGTTTAGTCATAATTGCAAGACAAATTATTATTTTCAACAGAAAATACGCTTTCAAAATCATCTGTCAAATTATTGTTGTCTCTGCTTCATTGTAAACATTTTCTTTTACGTTGAGCATCAGTTGAATGAGAGAGAACGGTTGTGATTTTTAGGCAGGACTGATGTAGAAAGAGTTACGGCTATCATAATTTACCTGATGGCCACTAACACTCTAGTGGCCTCGATGAGGTCAGAAAACCGATGGCTTGTCAAAGGTACGTTGACGAAGGTTGTCACTTCAGGGTTGTATTACACTTACATACAGATGTGAAATTTTAGGATGGCGTTTAAGCGTCCAAAATCTAAGAGCTAGAGGAGGATAAATTAATACTCTCAGAAACATTTCTAGTGTCACAAGAAAAGATAAATAAATTAAAACATGCAGGCGATGAGTCACAATAGCGTGGCTAAAGTATGATGACCAGACAACACACTAGAAGGTGAAGGGACGACGACGTTTCGGTCCGTCCTGGACCGAAATTCTCAAGTCCTGGATTCTCAAGTCGATTGTGATCGACTTGAGAATGATCCAGGACGGACCGAAACGTCGTCGTCCCTTCACCTTCTAGTGTGTGGTCTGGTCATAAATTAAAATATCATATAAATAGATTTTTATATTATTGAGCCTTGCGTCGGGTATATTTTCTTCCTGTAACCTTTCTTGTTGTGTCCACAGTTCGCCTTCGTCCATGTCTTCACCAAGGTCGGGTCCGGCGAGGTCTACCTGTCTCAGGCCAGCTCTGAGGCCGACTCCTCGGACGACGACCTCTACCAGGATGATGACGATGGCTTGGAGGATGAGCAGGCAGAGGTGAGGTATGACAGGATCCACACACACGAACCTCACATATCCCTGGAAGACAGAGGAGTAAGGGGAGACATGATGACCACCTACAAAATTCTCAGGGGAATTGACAGGGTGGACAAAGACAAACTCTTCAGCACGGGTGGAACACGAACAAGGGGACACAGGTGGAAACTTAGTACCCAAATGAGCCACAGACATTAGAATGTTTTTGTTCAGAGTCAGAGTAGTTAACAAATGTAATGCATTATGTGGTGATATGGTGGAGGCTGACTCCATACACAGTTTCAAGTGTAGATATGATAGAGCCCAGTAGGCTCCGGAACCTGTACATCAGTAGATTGACAGTTGAGAGGCAGGACCAAAGAGCCAGAGCTCAACCCCTGTAAGCCCAACTAGGTGAGTACACACACACACACATACACACATCCACAGGGGCCTGTGGCTGAGTGAACAGCGCTCGGCACTCATAATCCTAGGGACTGGGGATCGATCCCTGGCAATGGCAAAAACAAATGGGCAGAGTTTCTTTCACCCTGATGCGAGCGTTCACATTACATTTCACCTTTGTAAATGCACATTAATGACACTGTAAAAGATTCTCCGAACACTTTAAGTAGGACAGATGTAAGTCTGTGTATTTATGTAGGAAGGTTAGATTTGCATTATATAAGTACTACAATAAGTTGATTGTTCAATAAATCACTGAACTATATGTTGAACAGATCTCTAACCCGGTCCATGGAGGACAGAAGAAAATGTATATATGCTGGTTAGCATTGTAAATGTGTGGCCACGTCTGTGGTAGGAAATAATAAAAGCAAAAATACTCAACAATTCAAGTCAAGTGAGCAGACGAAGGCTCTGGAACACAGTTGCCTCCAGCTTTACCCTCCAATCACGGTTATCTTGAGGTTATCTTGAGATGATTTCGGGGCTTTTAGTGTCCCCGCGGCCCGGTCCTCGACCAGGCCTCCACCCCCAGGAAGCAGCCCGTGACAGCTGACTAACAACCAGGTACCTATTTTACTCTCAATTCCTCAATTACTCTCTAATTAGAGGGTGAATCAAATTGTAACTAAATATTTAATAGCTTATATCTAATGGAAAACTAACATTAATTTCATAAAATAGATCAGTTTCTATGCTGAGGTTTCTCATGAGTTGATGCAGGATTGCAGTTCTTAGCTTGCAGTATTAGTTTAGTAACATCGATGCAATTTATATTGAACCCTTGTTTTAGTTAAACAGATGAGAGAGAAGGTGAGATATGGGGGTTTGAGGGAAAGGAGAAGATAGTGAGATGGCAAAGAGAGAGAGAGAAAGAGCGAAAGAGAGAGAGAGAGAGAGAGAGAGAGAGAGAGAGAGAGAGAGAGAGAGAGAGAGAGAGAGAGAGAGAGAGAGAGTGTGTGTGTGTGTACTCACCTAGTTGTACTCACCTAGTTGTGTTTGCGGGGGATGAGCTCTGGCTCTTTGGTCCCGCCTCTCAACCGTCAATCAACAGGTGTACAGATTCCTGAGCCTATCGGGCTCTGTCATATCTACACTTGAAACTGTGTATGGAGTCAGCCTCCACCACATCACCCCCTAATGCATTCCATTTGTCAACCACTCTGACACTAAAAAAGTTCTTTCTAATATCTCTGTGGCTCATTTGGGCACTCAGTTTCCACCTGTGTCCCCTTGTGCGTGTTCCCCTTGTGTTAAATAGACTGTCTTTATCTACCCTATCAATCCCCTTCAGAATCTTGAATGTGGTGATCATGTCCCCCCTAACTCTTCTGTCTTCCAGCGAAGTGAGGTTTAATTCCCGTAGTCTCTCCTCGTAGCTCATACCTCTCAGCTCGGGTACTAGTCTGGTGGCAAACCTTTGAACCTTTTCCAGTTTAGTCTTATCCTTGACTAGATATGGACTCCATGCTGGGGCTGCATACTCCAGGATTGGCCTGACATATGTGGTATACAAAGTTCTGAATGATTCTTTACACAAGTTTCTGAATGCCGTTCGTATGTTGGCCAGCCTGGCATATGCCGCTGATGTTATCCGCTTGATATGTGCTGCAGGAGACAGGTCTGGCGTGATATCAACCCCCAAGTCTTTTTCCTTCTCTGACTCCTGAAGAATTTCCTCTCCCAGATGATACCTTGTATCTGGCCTCCTGCTGCCTACACCTATCTTCATTACATTACATTTGGTTGGGTTAAACTCTAACAACCATTTGTTCGACCATTCCTTCAGCTTGTCTAGGTCTTCTTGAAGCCTCAAACAGTCCTCTTCTGTTTTAATCCTTCTCATAATTTTAGCATCGTCCGCAAACATTGAGAGAAATGAATCGATACCCTCCAATCATGATACCCTCCTGATACCACCACGACAACTACCTCCTTCCCCTTGATACCACCATGACAACTACCTCCTTCCCCCCTGATACCACCAGGACAACTACCTCCATCCCCCCTGATACCACCACGACAACTACCTTCATCCCCCCTGATACCACCACGACAACTACCTCCTTCCCCCTGATACCACCACGACAACTACCTTCATCCCCCCTGATACCACCACGACAACTACCTTCATCCCCCCTGATACCACCACGACAACTACCTCCTTCCCCCTGATACCACCACGACAACTACCTTCATCCCCCCTAATACCACCACGACAACTACCTCCTTCCCCCCTGATACCACCAGGACAGCTACCTCCATCCCCCCTGATACCACCACGACAACTACCTCCATCCCCCCTGATACCACCAGGATAACTACCTCCATCCCCCCCCCTGATACCACCAGGATAACTACCTCCATCCCCCCTGATACCACCAGGATAACTACCTCCATCCCCCCCTGATACCACCAGGACAACTACCTCCATCCCCCCTGATACCACCACCTCTCTTCCCTAACCCGCACCACACCCAGGTGTACTGCTCTAGGAATGGCGATACTCCCCAAGTCAACTGATAGGGGAGAGAATGATATCAACTGATGATATACTCTTCACCACGTGAAGAGTTGGGTGATACTGCTAGGAGCGCGAGTAAGTATGGTGGGTGTATTGGGTATGTATGGTGGGTGTAGTGGGTATGTATGGTGGGGTGTAGTGGGTATGTATGGTGGGTGTAGTGGGTATGTATGGTGGGGTGTAGTGGGTATGTATGGTGGGGTGTAGTGGGTATGTATGGTGGGGTGTAGTGGGTATGTATGGTGGGTGTAGTGGGTATGTATGGTGGGTGTAGTGGGTATGTATGGTGGGGTGTAGTGGGTATGTATGGTGGGGTGTAGTGGGTATGTATGGTGGGGTGTAGTGGGTATGTATGGTGGGGTGTAGTGGGTATGTATGGTAGGTGTAGTGGGTATGTATGGTGGGGTGTAGTGGGTATGTATGGTGGGGTGTAGTGGGTATGTATGGTGGGGTGTAGTGGGTATGTATGGTGGGGTGTAGTGGGTATGTATGGTGGGGTGTAGTGGGTATGTATGGTAGGTGTAGTGGGTATGTATGGTGGGGTGTAGTGGGTATGTATTGTAGGTGTAGTGGGTATGTATGGTGGGTATAGTGGGTATGTATGGTGGGCATAGTGGCTAAGTATGGTGGGCATAGTGGGTATGTATGGTGGGCATAGTGGGTATGTACTCACCTAGTTGTGTGTGTGTGTGTGTGTGTGTGTGTGTGTGTACTCACCTATATGTACTCACCTATATGTGCTTGCAGGATCGAGCATTGACTCTTGGATCCCGCCTTTCTAGCTATCGGTTGTTTACAGCAATGACTCCTGTCCCATTTCCCTATCATACCTAGTTTTAAAAGTATGAATAGTATTTGCTTCCACAACCTGTTCCCCAAGTGCATTCCATTTTTCTACTACTCTCACGCTAAAAGAAAACTTCCTAACATCTCTGTGACTCATCTGAGTTTCCAGTTTCCACCCATGTCCCCTCGTTCTGTTATTATTACGTGTGAACATTTCATCTATTTCCACTTTGTCAATTCCCCTGAGTATTTTATATGTCCCTATCATATCTCCTCTCTCCCTTCTTTTCTCTAGTGTCGTAAGGTTCAGTTCCTTCAGCCGCTCTTCATATCCCATCCCTCGTAGCTCTGGGACAAGCCTCGTCGCAAACCTCTGAACCTTCTCCAGTTTCTTTATGTGTTTCTTCAGGTGGGGGCTCCATGATGGCGCAGCATACTCTAAGACGGGTCTCACGTAGGCAGTGTAAAGCGCCCTAAAAGCTTCCTCATTTAGGTTTCTGAATGAAGTTCTAATTTTCGCCAGTGTAGAGTACGCTGCTGTCGTTATCCTATTTATATGTGCCTCAGGAGTTAGATTAGGTGTCACATCCACTCCCAGGTCTCTTTCTCGAATCGTTACAGGTAGGCTGTTCCCCTTCATTGTGTACTGTCCCTTTGGTCTCCTGTCACCTGATCCCATTTCCATAACTTTACATTTACTGGTGTTAAACTCCAGTAGCCATTTCCCTGACCATCTCTGCAGCCTGTTTAAGTCCTCTTGGAGGATCCTACAATCCTCGTCTGTCACAACTCTTCTCATTAATTTTGCGTCATCTGCAAACATTGTGTGTGTGTGTGTGTGTGTGTGTGTGTGTGTGTGTGTGTGTGTGTGTGTGTGTGTGTGTGTGTGTGTGTGTGTGTGTGTGTGTGTGTGTGTGTGGAGAGGAGGGATGGTGAGGGAGAGACATTGGAGGGAGTGGGAATAACTAGGCACGCACACCTCAACGTTTTGCAAGACAGTACATCATCTTCCCTACCGTGCAGCCTGTAGCAGTGTGCCTGTCCGTGACGGAGAGGGAGGTGGGGGCTTGCCCTGGCACGGGCCCCAACGGTGTCGGCACCTCCTCCAGGCCCAAGACTCCTCCCTTCAGGGACGCCAGGTTCTCCTTCTTCAGCAGACTGGCGGGTCTCTGCGGCAGGGAGAAGGCAAGGACCCACAGCACAACCATAGAGACCATAGACCAGCTTAAGGTGAGAGAAGAGGAGTAGAAGAGAGATAGATAGAGACAAAAAGATAGAGGATGAGAGAGAGATAGAGATAGACAGAGAGAGATATGAAACAGATTAACTAGAAACAAGATTTTTTGTCATTTAGTCGTGTAAGAATGTCAAAAAACTTGCGCAGTATTCATCACAACTTATACTAAGTGTCAAGTAATCAGTCAACTTAATGTGTGTTATTCAGCATGATTTATGCAGGAAGTAACTGATTGGTACATATTTATATCGCTGAGCAAGAACGTATCTTTTATCCATGAGAGGGTTGTGGCTGGCAGTCTGCCTGAAACCTGTGAGTAAGATTCTTCTCACTGTTTTGCCTCTCCCGGGGCCCCACCTTCTTGCAGGAGGTGCGTCGAGCAGTGCAGCGACACCAGAGGAAGGCGCAAGCGGAGGCAGACGACGCCGAAGCCCGTCGCTGGACGCAAGACTCGAGGAGCGGCAAGAGGACCAACCCCAGCAACAAACTCCTCCAGATGAACTCCGTCTCCAACATCGACGAGATCTCCCGCATCCTTTTCCCCCTCTCGTTCCTCTGCATCAACTTCCTCTATTGGTACACCTTCCTCTCCCACAACCCCTGGCCGCCTGACTACCTCTAAACTCCTCTGTACTCCTATTTTTTTTTGTATAATCTGGTATTTTCTGATGATGTGTCCCAATACTGAAGCAAATTCTTGAAAAGCTGATGTGACGCACTTTGCCCAGGGGTAAATATTACTTTCTCTAATGTAAGTCACTTCCTGGTGTGAGCCACACATTCTGTAAGTTTTCCTTATGTAAACAATACAATTTTTTGCTATAATCCGCTTGCCTTTTAGCGTAAAACAATATATTTTCTTCTTTATAATCTGTCCTGATGCCACTGACTTCTGTGTCTGTTTCAATGCGAGGCACCATAAGTGCAAGTGCACCATAAGTGCAAGTGCACCATAAGTGCAAGTGCACCATAAGTGCAAGTGCACCATAAGTGCAAGTGCACCATAAGTGCAAGTGCACCATAAGTGCAAGTGCACCATAAGTGCAAGTGCACCATAAGTGCAAGTGCACCATAAGTGCAAGTGCACCATAAGTGCAAGTGCACCATAAGTGCAAGTGCACCATAAGTGCAAGTGCACCATAAGTGCAAGTGCACCATAAGTGCAAGTCATTCTTACTGTGGGAAGGTGTTACTATAGTTTCCCATGGTAAGAAATACACTAGAGAGCCCAAGGTAAGTTTTACACTTACTACAGCACTTACAGCAGGAGAATACACCATGGTGGCTTACCATGCATGCTTCTCTATACTAAGTGTTACCGAAAGAAGCTGCCTCGTATGGACCAATAATCTTTCTGTATTATCTTATATTCGAATGTTTTTATCTTGAAATATGGTTCAGATTTAACTATAGGCTCCGAATGGCATAACTGAGATGAGGTCACTATAAACAATACGTTTTGTGTAGTGTGATACTGTAGGCCTCCGCCCGTCCAGCTTAGAGTAACTGTTGCAGCTGCATCGTGAATGGCTGTGGAGGAACGCAGCAGAATTAGTCGTCCTGTGTCAACTCTTGCAAAACAGGTCTAAAGATATATAATATTGATATGGTCTATATGGTAATATTTTTGTATATACCGTGCATGTGGTAATATTGTATATTATATATATATATATATATATATATATATATATATATATATATATATATATATATATATATATATATGTCGTACCTAGTAGCCAGAACTCACTTCTCAGCCTACTATTCAAGGCCCGATTTGCCTAATAAGCCAAGTTTTCCTGAATTAATATATTTACTATAATTTTTTTCTTATGAAATGATAAAGCAACCCTTTTCTCTATGTATGAGGTCAATTTTTTTTATTGGAGTTAAAATTAACGTAGATATATGACCGAACCTAACCAACCCTACCTAACCTAACCTAACCTATATTTATAGGTAAGGTTAGGTTAGGTAGCCAAAAAAGCTAGGTTAGGTTAGGTTAGGTAGGTTAGGTAGACGAAAAAACATTAATTCATGAAAACTTGGCTTATTAGGCAAAACGGGCCTTGAATAGTAGGCTGAGAAGTGCGTTCTGGCTATTAGGTACGACATATATATATATATATATATATATATATATATATATATATATATATATATTAAATTAATTACACTGTAGAACCAACATCTGTAGTGGCCTCATCGGGGACAGGAAGCCAGCAGCTTAGTCACAGATCCCTCCCTCCATTGTTCCTAAGGAGTTTTATAAAACGTACTGAGAGTAAAGTAACAAGATTTTATACCTGGAGAGAGTTCTGTGAGTTTATCTACTCCCCTGAAGCCAGGCTCGACTTGTGATAACTTGGTCCAACAGGCTGTTGCTTGGCGCGGCCCGCAGGCCCACTACACCCTGGTTGGTCTGGCACTTCCTGTACGAACTTATCTGTATATTTTGTCCTGATCACTTGCACTTCTGTTCATGCAGGTCGGTGTTCAGTCCCCCGACCGTCCAAGTGGTGTGTGTGTGTGTGTGTGTGTGTGTGTGTGTGTGTGCTGGGGGAGGCAGGGAAGGTGGGAGCTGAGGACGAAGATGGTGAGAGTGTGAAGATGTTCCCAGTGATGAGGATAGTGTGTGTTGATAGTTACATTGATTGTGGAAGACTGGGAAGGTGTGGGTGTGTGTGGTTGAATTTGAGTGTCGTTTGTGGTGAAGACGACCCGGGCACCGCCGGGTTCCCCATCTAGTATCTATAGACCTCCGATATCCTATCCACTCAGTCTGTCTTTCGAGAAGGGAGCAAGTATGTACCTGGTTATCCCACAACATCACACTGTAATCCAGGAAAATTAGGCAATTTTTTCTATTTGTTAATCAGTTTGGAAATATTAGACTTTCTTCTTACTCTTGGCTCCATGTTTTGTGCCTTTTTGTGTTCTCTTAAACCTTGAGCCAAATAGACATCCCAACCCACACACACACATCTCTTTGTCTGTTTTGGTTGGTTGTCTTATTTCACCATTCTCAAGTCGACAATCGACTTGAGAATGGTCCAGGACGGACCGAAACGTCGTCGTCCCTTCACCTTCTAGTGTGTGGTCTGGTCATCATACTTTAGCCACGTAATTGTGACTCGTCGCCTGCTTATTTCACCATTTTCTCTTTTGCTTATTTCCTCCCTTTTCTGATGACTTTGTTTAGCTGTCATTAGTCATTATTACACTGTTCCTTCTTATCCATTTGCTACCTCGGTGTTCATGCTTTACTTCTCCACTTTCCCCTCGTCTCCTTTCCCCTCACCTTCACTCCTGCCTCGTAGCGACTCCTCCTGGGCCCAGATTCACGAAATCACTTACGAACCTGTCCATCTTTTCTCAATCTTTGGCAGCTTTGTTTACAATTATTAAACAGTTAATGAGCTCCGAAGCACCAGGAGGCTGTTTATAACAATAACAACAGTTGATTGGCAACTTTTCATGCTTGTAAACTGTTTAATAAATGTAACCAAAGCCATCAAAGATTGAGGAAAGATGGACACGTTCGTAAGTGCTTGCGTAAGTGCTTTCGTGAATCTGGCCCCAGGTATCGAATCCTCCTCTCTCATGACTTGCCAAGGTACCAGGACGGAGCGAATCGTTGTTTTCATGTCAGGTTATGTTTGGGTCACGTGGTCCAGCCTGGCTGTTGTGACTCGGTCTCTGTAGTTGAGCCGAACCTTTATATATGTATGTGAATCCAGGAGGCACTATATATCTGGGTACTGTGCTTTAAATAACGGTGTACTCCCTGTTTCCTTGCGGCCACAACAGTCTCTTAAATCACTAGTCGTCCTTTAGATTTTCGCCTAAAGCACCGCTTGTTCCCATATCATCATCATCATAGACTCACAGGTGAAGGGTTGTAATAATTTCAGCGGTAAGGACTCCGGAGTGATGAAGCAGGCTGGCTGGCCATGTGGTGAGGCAGGTTGACTGGCTGGCCATGTGGTGAGGCAGGCTGGCTGGCCATGTGGTGAGGCAGGCTGGCTGGCCATGTGGTGAGGCAGACTGACTGGCCATGTGGTGAGGCAGACTGACTGGCCATGTGGTGAGGCAGGCTGGCTGGCTGGCCATGTGGTGAGGCAGGCTGACTGGCCATGTGGTGAGGCAGGCAGGCTGGCTGGCCATGTGGTGAGGCAGGCTGACTGGCCATGTGGTGAAGCAGACTGACTGGCCATGTGGTGAAGCAGGCTGGCTGGCCATGTGGTGAGGCAGGCAGGTTGGTTGGCCATGAGGTGAGGCAGGCTGGCTGGCCATGTGGTGAGGCAGGCAGGCTGGCTGGCCATGTGGTGAGGCAGGCTGGCTGGCTGGCCATGTGGTGAGGCAGGCTGGCTGGCCATGTGGTGAGGCAGGCTGGCTGGCCATGTGGTGAGGCAGGCTGGCTGGCCATGTGGTGAGGCAGGCAGGCTGGCCATGTGGTGATGCAGGCAGGCTGGCTGGCCATGTGGTGAGGCAGGCTGGCTGGCCATGTGGTGAGGCAGGCTGGCTGGCTGGCCATGTGGTGAGGCAGGCTGGCTGGCCATGTGGTGAGGCAGGTTGGCTGGCTGGCATGTGGTGAGGCAGGCTGGCTGGCCATGTGGTGAGGCAGGCTGGCTGGCCATGTGGTGAGGCAGGCTGGCTGGCTGGCCATGTGGTGAGGCAGGCTGGCTGGCCATGTGGTGAGGCAGGCAGGCTGGCTGGCCATGTGGTGAGGCAGGCTGGCTGGCTGGCCATGTGATGAGGCTGGCTGGCCATGTGGTGAGGCAGGCTGGCTGGCTGGCCATGTGGTGAGGCAAGCTGACTGGTCATGTGGTGAGGCAGGCTGGCTGGTCATGTGGTGAGGCAGGCTGGCTGGTCATGTGGTGAGGCAGGCTGGCTGGCCATGTGGTGAGGCAGGCTGGCTGGCCATGTGGTGAGGCAGGTTGGCTGGCCATGTGGTGAGGCAGGCTGGCTGGCCATGTGGTGAGGCAGGCTGGCTGGCCATGTGGTGAGGCAGGCTGACTGGCCATGTGGTGAGGCAGGCTGGCTGGCCATGTGGTGAGGCAGACTGACTGGCCATGTGGTGAGGCAGGCTGGCTGGCCATGTGGTGAGGCAGGCTGGCTGGCCATGTGGTGAGGCAGACTGACTGGCCATGTGGTGAGGCAGGCTGGCTGGCCATGTGGTGAGGCAGACTGACTGGCCATGTGGTGAGGCAGGCTGGCTGGCCATGTGGTGAGGCAGGCTGGCTGGCCATGTGGTGAGGCAGACTGACTGGCCATGTGGTGAGGCAGGCTGGCTGGCCATGTGGTGAGGCAGGCTGGCTGGCCATGTGGTGAGGCAGACTGACTGACCATGTGGTGAAGCAGGCTGGCTGGCCATGTGGTGAGGCAGCCTGACTGGCCATGTGGTGAGGCAGGCTGGCTGGCCATGTGGTGAGGCAGGCTGGCTGGCCATGTGGTGAGGCAGGCTGGCTGGCCATGTGGTGAGGCAGACTGACTGGCCATGTGGTGAGGCAGGCTGGCTGGCCATGTGGTGAGGCAGACTGACTGGCCATGTGATGAGGCAGGCTGGCTGGCCATGTGGTGAGGCAGGCTGGCTGGTCATGTGGTGAGGCAGGCTGACTGGCTATGTGGTGAGGCAGGCTGACTGGCCATGTGGTGAGGCAGGCTGACTGGCCATGTGGTGAGGCAGGCTGACTGGCCATGTGGTGAGGCAGGCTGGCTGGCCATGTGGTGAGGCAGGCTGGCTGGCCATGTGGTGAGGCAGGCTGGCTGGCCATGTGGTGAGGCAGGCTGGCTGGCCATGTGGTGAGGCAGGCTGGCTGGCCATGTGGTGAGGCAGACTGACTGGCCATGTGGTGAGGCAGGCTGACTGGCCATGTGGTGAGGCAGGCTGGCTGGCCATGTGGTGAGGCAGGCTGGCTGGCCATGTGGTGAGACAGGTACTCACATGATAATTGCACATAGTTATACATGTATGGAGTTGACTCACACCAAGTATAGTGAGGATT